GCCCATAAAACACTAACAATAAAAACTTCAATAATGCATAGAAAGCACACACACAAATAAGCGGACACACACGCATTTAAGAATCTGTTCACAAGGAAACACTACGTACTTGCTCGTTTTAGTGGTTAGGCAAAAAACAATGCACATAGCACGTAGCATGCGAAAGAGTGAATTGTATCCTATTTGAATAAGTGGTCAATCCAACAGACAATGTAAAACTACTATGACTCTATGGTAATAGTAGAAGCATGGGCTCTAATAGCATATGATTCATTTTAGAAACATAAAATGGACATACCCTATGCTTAACTGGTATTTGGTTTTCCAAATCTCCTTTTTTTACAATGAAACAAATGATGAACAAGACTTCATAAATTTTTTTCTTAAAGAACAAGATTAAACAAAACAAAATTGGTGCAAAGTACAATGCTTGCTAAAGGGAAAAAGAAAGGAAACATGGTTTTTCTTCTTCTACTTAGATGTTCCACCAAATCCCCCTCCCTCCATAATTTAATTTATATGAAAATCATGAACTTAGATAGTTACAACCACTCCCTGTTCATTTTTGGAATTTTGAACTCACATATTTAAACCATAGTGTAACTTACTTAGAAAGATAGGTGCTTAAAATGGAGCTGAGCCTTTTACCAAAACCTTGTACGGGGCCAATTTGGACAGCTTCTTCCAATGCCAGCCAATCCTAAATCATGTTCATCCAAGGAATGAACAATAAAACCTTCTCGATCATATTAAGTATAAGCTTCTAAAAAATGGAGATAAATGAGTACCTCATCGAAGATCAACTGACTGAATTTCTGGTTGGCTATCTCTTCACACCGAGCAGTAGCAGCCATAACCTAATTAAATCAGTAACATAATTACTTATGTATATGTTCTATGCGTATGAGAAGCAAAGTTTGAAAACGCTAAGGCCTTAGCCGAGGCGTTTTACCTCCCGTGAGAAACATAGGATGTAAGCCTTTTATGCCTTTCAAGGCGTACTAAAAATATGTGAAAAATATATATTCTAGTGAAAAATACCATGAAAAATATATATATAATATAGTTAAAAAATAATCAATTTTCATTTAGAAGGAAAAACACCAGACAAGACTTAGCTCATTTGTCAATATTAAGGACCTATTTGGGAGTGCATCTAGAAAGGTTAAAAGCGCTTCTGACAGTGTTTGGCAAAAAGTTTAGAAGCGCTTTAAGTGCTTTTCCAGGAAGCACTTGGATTTTTTTTTATTTAAAAAAATCGCTTATGAGCATAGAGAAGCAGTTCCAAATGAGCCGTAAGTGTTTCCATATGTTCCATAACCTCATATATAAACGAAGTTTCTTTTATTTTCACTACTAACCAAATCCAATCTACATCAATAAGAACTCCATCCCAAATGTCATACACAATGCACCCAACCTATTCCCAAGTTTACACTACTAGTTGCCGTTGCATTTGCAAGAAAATACACCAATATTTCATATCTCCAAAATTTATATCCATGCAGGAGTTTTAGGAAAAACAAAATCCATTTATTCTTGAAGGAGCACTGCTTAAATGAAAATGAAAACATACTAAAGTTAAGCGTAAGGTAAGAGAAGTTATAAAACGTACATGTGCTGAAATAGCTTGTGTGACACCATTCTCAGTCTCCGCTATGAACTGTCTCCACAAGGACTGGCACTGCACTGGAGTAATTAAGGTATTCTTTGAAGAAACCTAGTTCAAATTAACCTTTAATAAGGAACCAGTTTGATTAGATAAAAAGTTTACAGATAACGCAAAACACATTAAATGGTACCTCTTCCCAATTGCTTGAGGCGAGAGGGTCTACAGAGGCTCCGATTTCCCTATCTTGTGAAGATGAAACAGTAACAGCTCCATCCATTAGAGAAGAAAAGAGAACTTTTTCAATATGATCTGGCTTCTCATCCAAGCGGATGGCAGCCATGACGGACAAAAGCTTCATAGACTGCAAGAAAGATAAAATAAAATAAACTAAAATAAAACGTTAACACAAACGGACAGATAACTATTCTTCCATAAAAGTTCCCAATGATTACCGCAGAGCGAGCATCCTTGGTAATACTTCTAATGTCTTCTTTACCAGTCCAAACCCGAAGCATTGAATCACTGTCATAATTGAAGACTGTGGAAAACCTGAGACATTTTAACAGAAATGATAAGCAA